GCCAGTAAAACGTGATGTTATGATGGCAGTTGAAAGGATAATCGGTGCAAATTTGGCTGCTTAGCGTATTGGACCTGGTAATTAGAGGTTTTCCAGTTAACCAGATCTCATACCTCTTCCAAGGTAAATGAAAATTTGAAGAAGTATGTAATATGTTTAAGTAATTTTGAATACTTTTATGCCGCATGCCAGCTTTCAGATATCCAGTTTTTGGTACAAAGGGTACATAATTTTTTATTCCTTACAATCAACCTCCCATAGACAAGAAAACTAAAGATGAATGCCAAAAGTCCTAGACAGTCTGAGCTTAGCTGCATCTAACTGAAACCATCGGTTATCCAACGTTACAAGGAAGTGCGTAAAGCTGCAATTCAAAATCGTCCTTTGTACGAAATGTCTGCGGAAAAATACAAAGGCGAACGAAACAACTTCGACGCCGTATCTTTTATCGACAGCACGCCAAAGACAAGGTTCCTCGAGTACTGAGCGTGGCTTTTCGCTCAACCGCTCGGTTTACTTGTTGACTGAGGCTCTAAGAAGACAGAAGAACGCCCGCTCTTTGTTTAACAATTAAAATGCCTCCTTTTTCGCTAGCTTTAGATATTTTACTTCTGTTTTTCCAACTGGCTGAGTTCGTCTTTCGGGTTTTTCAATGCAGACGCGGACTTAGAAACCAGAACATGATCGACCGGGTCACCATCGTAAAAAAAGCATAAGCAATGGATGCGGTGACTGAAAAGTAGAGTTGTTTGTTTAGTGCGTATAAATTGTGTCGCACCTTCGAAAGCGGATACGAAAGCTACTCCGAAGCTTCGACAAATTTCGTTCTCGTTCCAACGCTTCATCTCACTTTTTCTGAATTTATTCCTTGACCTCGTCCTTCTATACCATGACTTACGTCCTCTCCGTAAGCTCATTACATTAATATCCAGGTAGGCTCGTCTTGGGAAGCATTTGATAAAAAATAAATTAGACTTCTATTTTTACCGGTAACCGGAATAACAACGCGCGTTCTCTTCTGAGGGGAAGAAAAAAGAACACCCCTTTTGCAAAAGCACGTTTGTCCTACAGGCAACATTGGCAAGCTGCCTCAAAAAAACGTCGATTTTGATGTAATTGACTGCAGTCTGCAGCAACTGCCCAACTGTCGGTTGATTACAAATATTCCAACGCTTACTGCTATGATGGGCAAGATGAGCACTGCATTAACTGTGCCGCATGAAGTTTTCCTTCCCCATATCCTTACTTCCAACCAAATCCGATCGTTTCTGCCGTCAGGGTGTCGGCATGCATTCGCCTCCATATGACACGTCGACGCCTGACACTTAGATAAGCGTAGTATAGGGTAAAAATCACGAACCGCGTTCAGTAAACACAATGTGGATAAGGGCCACCTTGCTGGCTAAAAAGCTGTAAAAATCCTTACGGAAATTTCACTTCAAAGTTTTTAATATATAAGTCATTTGAGAGTATTACTAACGTAATGAGGTCAAGGGCCAAACTGTTACCACTAGAACTGCCAATTAAGAAAACCCCTCCGACGGATAGGAAAACATAAGTTTTCAAAGTCCGTAAACATACTGATGTTTCTTTTGACATAATTTTCAAACGATTTCATTGATATTCGTTATTATAGATAAGTTGGACACCTTGGTGGAATAGACGCTGTGTTCTGTAACTGAACAGCAATCATTTCCTTACAACAAAGACATGGATTATGTCTGAAATTGTGGAACCTGGCCGTATGCAAGTATCCTAATGCAGTAGGCGTGCTAACACATGAAATGTTGACCAAATTCTGAAATACCTTTTCGCCTAAAAAAGATAACTTAAGTAAGGTAGTAAAATTAATCTCTATGCGGCATGATCTTATGATAATTCAGTTACATTGATATGCCGACTTTTAAACGAACGTCTTTATGACGGTATGTAAAAACCGCATTCTGTAAAAATAACTACTTCAGTAGCATGTATTTTGTCTCATTGATTTTCGATTCCACTAAAAATTCAGTTACAGTTCATGCAAACATGATACAAGTATTCCTTCTTTTACTAATTAGGTAGAAAATTACGGTTTCTCTCAATTTTATCCCCGAAAGCAGAGTATACTTCGGTTTTGTAGATGTGTTTTAGTATGAGATTTTTGATACCGTGAAGTGCCTGTTCATATAATATCGTGCTTCTGCGTTTGCTAATGCGGATTGTAAAGTTTACAATATGACTGAAATCCAATGTTAAATTTTATGAACACCATATGGTCTCCTCTTAATACAGCATAGGAATGCATGATTTTGTGTGCGCTAAAAGTATATGGTTGGTAGTTTGTAAACCCTGGATGCAAGTGTAACAGCAAATTGGGTACAAAATTACTCGGGAATTGCAAAGGCTTTCGAATACGAATGTTACCCTACCATCGAGTATGAAGCTAAAAGAAGACGTAACTTTATGTCAAATAGGTTGAAAAATGAATAGCTTTATTCTGTTTTCTACGAAATAAATGCAACCTTTTAAGGGTATTGAAATTCAGTGAGAGAGAATTCGTGCCACGTAAGCAGTTGTTTTTTGCGGACTGTATTTTTTGCATGCCGACGAAAAGAAGTTCGTTTGAAAGCCGGCATCCGTGGATATTTGAACCATTATGGGCTTTACTGCATGGAAATTAATACTACAACCTTAAGTAAGTAATCTTTTTGAAACGAAAACACATTTTGGTTAACTTTTCATGAGTTAGCGAACGTACTGTACGTTGTATTTAAAAGTCGGAAGTGTTGGATCCCAAGGGAAATTGTGGGACCGACTGAGTGTTTTCCAATGCTTTTCATTATGCGATGTGCAAAGCACGGAAAGTATTTAAAGAAACGGAAAACTGATTTTTGAGTACTATGTGAAATGGTCCTGTGTTGTCTTTCATTGTCCAACGCGTCTCAGCTGAATTTTGCTAGTCTTTTTGAAACTGAAACACTGGACTACTAAATTCTAAATTTTACTCTATAAATCTTTTCGGTCAAAACTTTAAGAGCATTCTCACCTTTTTCCAAGCAATTATGGCTTGCGTACATAAGCTATTCTATTCATCCACTAGATCATACGTTGCTCTCATTTCATAGAAATAACGACTTATACTTAGGGTTGTCAAAATGGCTTTCGAGTCACTTATCTAAAAAAACTTGGCACCCGTTTAATCAAGTGAATGATACCTTCTAGGCTGTGACTCGGTTAGACGTTTTAAACATGTCCGATTGCCCAAAACATCCTGATATTTGTCCACCAGTCAATTGCTCCGTGTATCCTAAATGCGTAATTTAATTTTCCACTGCCCCTCCACCTTCGCATTCTGGGCTTTTGTTTAGTGGTTTATGCGGTTCTAGTTCGCTGATGTTGCATTCTTTTAACTAATTATCTTTCTCGGCCGCGTTTATACGTCCACGAGTTTTAGAGATGTTCTTGGGACGCCAGCGATACTCCTTCTTTCTGACTCCTAGGAAGTGTATTGGCATGCCCATCATGACCGGACTCCATTCTTAACCTTCCTTGGATTCCTGAATGCGGAACATTTTCAGCTCCTTGACTTATTGTCTTTATTCCAACCCCGCGCTCATACATCTGTCAAAAATATGCCCTTAAAATGACCCACGTAATCAGAAACACAACATTGTCCGATATTTTTAATTTATTTTTAATTGGTTGCCTCAGGCATGTGCTTCAACGGGTCCTGACTAAATTCTCAGTCAACACATCGACACTAAACAAGCTTGCAGTACGTCTGTGACGTGTTAACACAAAGGCATTTCCTGAAGTTCGGATGTTTCATTAAATTTTGCTTGACATTGTTTAGCGATACGAATTTTATGATCATTTGAACCGACTGCTCTTTACGGAAACCTCGACAGGCTTAATCATATATTTAAAGTACAGGTCTTTCTGAAAGATATAGCGCTACGTATATTCCAATTAACGGGGGCGACAATTTATGGCTGACTGCAAATACTCACAATAGAACATTTTCATACGACCAATCGATAACTTGCCATTTACGTAAGCTAGGCAATACACTTATTTTACAATTCACAATTATTTATTTTTTGGAAACAATTTGCTCTCAACAGGTTATAGGACTTTTGTTTTACCTTAAACTTTAGATTCACTCCCGACTTAAAAGGTTAATGTTTTCTAGAAGTGTCCTTACCGCACCTACATTCAAGAGTCCATCTTGTTTGATTATTATACCATAGGTTCAACTTTTGAGCATAAATTAAGTCTTTATTTATGATTTTTGCTTAAAACCTGCGCCTGGCTTAAATCAACAAAATCATACTTAGACGACTGGAATCTTTTCATTTCTATCTCTCAGAGAAACATCTTCATGAATATCGCAGTTGACGTTTTAATCTTTTGAAAAAGGCATTTTGGGGAATAAAAACTAAATCGACTTGGATTGTGACAACAATTCACTGTAGAAAATAGTTAAAAGTGAGATATTCCGATCGTTGTTTCTGTACCTATTTTTTTCAACGGGCAGATGACTGTAATATATCCACTGTTTTTTTCTCTTACGCATGCACTTTTCACACACGCAAGGTGTTTTGTGTCGGAGGCGTTTTCGCCGCCCAGTGGACCTCTGGCCAGCAGATCAGTTTATTTTCAGTATTGGGAGATCGTCCATCAAGAAGGCAGGCTGAGTAATAGAAGCAAACACATGAGCTTTTGAGAGGTGAGCAGACCCCGGACAAATTTGATTCTCCCTCCTCTAGGGCTCATCAGGTAGGACAATGTTCCAGCGGTGGTATCTCAACGGCAGGTGTCCGATCACTTTTACTTCCTGTCCTCGGCGCTGCAGAGTAACTCCTTTTGAAAGTGCTGTTCATCTTTGATTGCAATGAGTAGAACTCCGCTCTGCACTTTGAACCCTGGAATAGGGCCTTACAGGTAGTACGAAACTTCAGCGAAAAAAGGGAGTAAAACACGAAATTCATGGTGGCATTAAAAAAGAGAAGAACGTTCGAGATGTTGGAAAAAATAATTAACATGGAGGCGAACTGCAAGTCTTTTCTACGCGAGTCAATGTCTATGAGACTGCCGAGAATGTTGAGAACGGTGCTGGGCATCTGAAGAAGGAGAAACGCCACCACGATGGCGATTAGCATGATAGTAATGCGTTGTTGTTCGCCAAAACCTGACTTTCGCGGCTTAATTTTGGCCACGGCGACAGATGTGTTAATGACTGCGTTCATGGTTCTCTGCTGGAAGGCTCCAATACCATCCTGCGCGCCTGCCGGACATGGCGCTGGGCGGGCAACAAGAGATCTGGTGCCCGAGGTGCCCTTTCGGTTCTCCTCCTCCCCCTCGGGGGATTTAGACATACCACGCCGTCTTCGGTGGGCTGACAGCACTTTGAAAATGAGGAGAGTATTGAAGACGGTGAGAAGAAGGAGTGGCAGTATTACAAAGGCCGTCTGGTTGATGAAAGCATAGCCGCAAGCTGTGAGTAATTTATGGTACTTGGAGGCTGTGACGATGTACATCCCATCCGGCACTAGACTGCCGTTTGCGTAGGTCTGGGGCACGACCTTGTTTTGCAGGTAATCCGGAAATGTGAAGATGAAGCTGGCTATACAGACCACAATGACAGCCACGCGAGCCTTGCGACGCGTGCAGAACCGGTGTCCAAAAATGGGGAATGAAATGTTAATGAACCGCTCAATTGTAAAACTGACAGTCAGCCAGGTAGTCATGTTACTGAAGAGATTTGCTGTGCCGTGAATAATGGGCACCGTGTACATGTAGAGGCTACAACGTCGAGCTCCGGCGTAAACCTGCAGGGAGAAGAGAAGGGAGTGTGTCAGGTAGATGAGGTCCGAGGCGGCCACCGCGGTGAGATAGACGTTGGTCGAGGATCTCATCCATTCACGAGTGAGAACAATCATGTTAATGCTGTTTGCTACAATCCCCGTAAGGCATATTATTGGAGTGATTATCTTGCCACAGATGAGACGTGCGATAAAAATGCGATTTTCATATTCCCTCTCCTCCATAATGGGAGGAGGTAAGCGCAAACTCAGTAGCCCTCCTAGACTTCGGGAAGGCAGTCGATTGAAAGGTAACTGCACATTCAAGAGAATGGTTTAATGTGAGGTGGGAGCAGATGTTTTATATGAGTGGGGTCGTTTCGCACTCTACTTGCCCAACCAGTTGCTTATTGGTTCACGTCTAGTCTCTTAACCAATCCTTATCTTTGGTGAGCCACCAATCAACTCGGGCGTGTCCTTAGACTAATTTTAAGTCGTTCTGGTGCTCCCTACTGATTGCATTCGGTTTTTTATGCTCGTCCGCGCTCCAAAACCCTCCTTTGTATTTTTTGTAATTCAGTAAAAGTTTGTTTTAACTACCGTAAGCTTTTTTCTATTCGCTGAACGAATCACTAATCGGTGAAATCACCCAAAGTGACTGAGTGCATCGTTCATTATCTTGAGCGTATCTGAAAAAATATGATGCCTACCTCCTTAGATTACAGTAGGTGAAGTATCGAATGAAATGCCAACCAAAATTCTAAAATACTTTTTTGATTAGAAAGGATTACTTGGGTGACATAGTAGTTTTAAAAACTTTTTGATTTCCCAATTAATTTTAAACTAACTATGTCGTGGGACTGGCGTTTGGGGCTTTCATGCCACAATTCTTATGTATGCCACAGAAGTAAACCATACATTTTTCTATGCTATTAAGATGATATCATATAAGGTTCATATGGTTTTTCAACAGATGTAGACCGTAGTGGGTGGTTTATTAGAGTTTTATAAAAAAACTGACATTGTTATCTAAACGAAATCATTTTAAATCAAAGGCTGCCATTTCTTTGAGGACAAGGTTTAAAAAACGCGAAATGCTGCCAAATGAGTTCGAAGAAGGACTAGCTTGCGCGTGCTCTTTAAAATTTGCAGAGCCATCAGCATTCCTGGTGAAACTTAATTTTGCTTTAGTAGCCACGTCGGGACGTGTGTGATTTTTAGAAAGAAACGCGGCCAAGAGCCAACACCTAGGCGCAAATGAAATATCCTGCGCTTCTGCTGCGGGATAATCAATACCAAAATCCCAAGTACACCTTCCCTTCTAATGGGAAACACATTTCATCAGATATGTTGCCAACTGTTGGCATCCGCACCTTAAACTGAACCCGACAGATAAGCTAAAAACGGCAACGCCAAACTCTCTGCTTCCTAGGCTTCTACTGTTCGACGAGTGATTATTTGGCATCAAACGACTGCCCGAGAGAAGAAAGGGTCTTAAGCTGTTATCTATTGGTGTTGCATACCTCTGAACTCTGCTTTACTCGTTATTCTTAGAGTTTCTAAAATCGCCTTGGAAAGGTTCAGGAGACCAGCTTACGAAGACATATGCATCTTAGATGCATTCTCGTCGTGTCAGTACATTTGTACTAAATCGGGTACATTAACATGTAAGTGAAAAGAGTAATTGACTGCAGTTTGTCACTTGCTCCAAGTGGGCTGTGAGGATAGGAAGGAGGTAGTGAGAGACAGTTAGTGCTCAAGGCGAAGGTGGGGAGGGTTGGAAGATGTTATTCAGTAAAACGACCCCTGCATGAAGTATGCGCTACGTTCTGCGTGAGCGGGACCAGTTTGATGACTGTCGCCTGTGATGCCGCTGGCCCAGTGACTTAGGGTCGTTCGGTGGGACCTTGTAAATCATAAGGACGGCTTCATTGGGGGTTCATACGATGCCTCTGAGGTGGTCTCGTGTTCCTTTGGGATAAGCGGCTACTAGGGCGGCCATTATAACGTGTTCCTCTTAATCGATTTTCGCGATTGACCCACTTCACAGCTGCTTGAGGGTAATTATTGACCCTGAAATCTGAGTAAAGGCACAAAATACCTGCTTTCCGGTAGAGCAGAAGAATTCACTGTTGGGCTTTTATACGCAAAGAAAGAGTAAACAATATTAACTGAAGAATTTGTTTAAATGCTTGCGCATTTTACAAACTACAGTACACCTGGTTTGTCATTCCGTTACATCAAATCACCAAATTTTCTCCGTTTCGTCAGTATACAGACAGTTGCTAGTTAGCTTGGTTAGCGTATTTCGCATGTTCTTTTTCGCATTTCATAATCACTGAGCTTATTACAAACGAGTTTGACGGAGTCCACGAAAGCATATAGACAGCTGACTAGTATTCACATCCATATCAATTAATTTCAGGAAACATCCTGCTTAAGATTTTCAATGTCAGACAGAATATTAAAGAAGAAAATTTGTTGTGGGCGAATGAAAAGGCAGTAAATTTTGCGCACTTAACGCGTAGCTGATTTGAGCATGAGCACTACGTTATTTGATTAATTCTTAATCGACAACAGTGAATCATGGAGAGCAACGATTTGTTCAAAAATGAAGTCTTGTACCTAATGCTGATGCGTAATTCAATTTTTACCCGGTTGAATGCTTTGTTAGTAAAACAACGAGTGTTCAATCTATATTTCTGCACGGCACTCAACTGGTTTAAAGTACATCAGTACTCTTAATGAACAAATCTGATCATATTTGATTAGAAAATTAAACGATTTGAGTCGTGCCGAGGGTTTCCGCAACGCTTAGCCTAAAAATTCACCATTATTACCAGCTCCGCAAAACAAGCTCTGTGGTTACACCAATTGCAAATTCTCATTCGCTCAGTGAGCACCTATATCATTCACGATTTATGTGCACAAACGCAGGTATTACATCGAATATAGATATAAATCAGTGGTGAATCAAATGCTTGCGATGTACTTCAGATATGCACTCCTTCTTAGACTGCAATGCAAGTTTCTAGACGAAAAAAGTTTTTCCTACAAAACTGCACACATGTGTTTTTATTTTGGTATAGTAACCGACAACCCCATGTGGAGCGGTGGCACAGTGAAAATCCCGGGTCATCTACTTAAAAACATTCAAGCACGTTAGTGAACAGTGATCGTTAGAAGTGCTGTCTGGTCGATCGTTGGTTTTCAATATCTCGAAAGATAACATTAGGATGCCCTTTCCTTAACAGTTAAAACAGGGTAAAAATTAAATCCGCTTTTCAACAGAAGCGTGTATGAACTGGGGACATGTAATATCATGGTAATATTTTTGGCTCGTATCTTGATAATACATAAATATGGGGAGAGCATTTCATAGGGGTTATGTACTCCGCGTCAAAACCCTTTACCCTGATGCATACTCCTCAAAGGGTGACCTAACAGTACAGTGGTAAAGTCACATTTTCCTTTCTCAATATTGCACTAAGCAATTCAGCTTGTAAATATACACGTTTCTGACATACGCACGTTTGCGAATAATGCTGTTTACTGTAAAAAAAAATAATGTTTTGCTGGACCACATTAAGGAGAATGCTTGTTTCTCTCCGTATCCCCGGAAGACATCTTTTTAAACTCCATTATCTCAGTGGAAGAAGTCTACTGTTGAGCCGGCCAAACTGTCCCCCCCAAGACGGGAGAAGGTACAAATACTTTTGTCTCCGGGGAATAGTGGTCTTTTTATCAAATTCGACATAGTCGGGGAGTGCAATTCTTTTGCCCCATAGGACATCGGTGCATTTGCGACTGCAGTTTGTTACTCTCCCCGCCGTAGGCCAAAAAATTGTTTTTCTCTGCGGTCTTTCTCTGCAGGTCTGACAAAAACTACTCAAAACCCCCTCAAGTAAAAGACCGGCGGTCAGTTCCCTCTCTCCCTATAAATCACTGGCACACCTCATACTGTTTGGAACGGTTCCTTGCAATTTACGAGCTCCTGTCGTAGTCATGCCCAGTAGAGAGTTGTAATCCTCAAATGTTGTGCCGAATTGGCATATTGTGGATTCGGAGTGGACAAAGAACTAGTCTCGTCTACCTGAAAACTAATCATCTGATATAGACGTATACTTAAGATCGTAACTCTTCGAACGGCTGAGAAAACACGCCCTCGAAGACGGACTTCAACATGACTGCGGCAGCCTCAATACCATGAGTGCGAACACTTTCAGTTGACAGAGAACATTTTTTGCTTATTTTCCTAGACCCCACAAGCCATGTTGTTGTAAAGTTCGCACGCTAAGGGCTGGCGTCGAAGTGGGTATGAATCATAATAAGCCATCTTGCTGGAAGAATTCACAAAGTAAATAAGAATCCAGCATTCGCCCCTCGGCAATGTCTACTTCGAAACCTAAGGTTGCTTGGTCAGAGGCTTCGCGTGACCTTTAAAGTTTTTGCTGCGAATGAATGCCTCAAAGGTAGGAATGGCCAGTCTTTGTCTTGGCGCCGATCGCCTTGAGAATCTGCCGAACGACCTTTCCCGGAATCAAAATAAGACGAAATTCTTCAAAACGGAATAACAGGATAAAAGCTATTTACAACTTCGACCCAGTATAAATTATGATTCCTTGTGAATTTAGGTGGAATCGCCTCTTGCCATTTCATAAATAATTAACTTTCTACTTATTGTCTATTGACACTTATGCCGTTTATAGAAGGTCGAGGCCAAAATGTTCTGCAGCGCGTGAGCGATTCACAATGGCCAAATTCCAATCGCGTTTCTGTTAGGGCATTGGCAGTTTGTTCTGATAGCAAACTTTAGAATTCCTCATAGTATTTCTTTACATTACAAAGTCAAGCTAAATTGAAAAAATGACAGAGTGCAGAAGATGAGGATGCGATCACCGGAACAAGAAATTTATTTGCCTGACGTTTCGGATCCTTACACTAATCCATCATCAGAGACATTAGCAGATAAAGGTGATTGTGGCACCAGGAGTGCAGTATTTATAGCACGTAGCTGCCGTGGGACCGCATGCGCACTGCAATTAACAGTTCTCGTAATCACGCTGGGGCCGTAATTGATGCGGTGGTGGCTTGTCGGTCTGAGTCCGAGTCGTTAATTGCCGCGATTTCGTCATCCG